AACTGACATTTATTTAGATTGAAGTGCATCTAGGTTGAAACAAAGACAAATTTCCTTTAAGTATCGAGATTTTAAAAACAACAAAAAATTAAGACTATCAGGGGACCCAGCCAAGCTAATTTTAGAAGGATATGCAGAACATTGATGTTTTTATATGTCAAACATTGCCATAGTCTGTGCTTTATTTTCACAACCCTCAACTGTTATCCTTACCAAGTCTAAGTGTTGTCTCTGTTCTACTTCAAAGGCACCACAATTCACTTGGTGCCAAGTACCGAGCTCACCACATTGTGTGTAGAGTGCCATTTGGGACATTAGGGTACTAGCCACTTGTGTTATTTTTTCAAAGAGGTCCATGAACCATTTGCACCAGCGAGCCTTCTGGAATGCTCATATTCTGCAGCAGGAGAGACGAAAACAAGTCTAGAAATGATACAGACGGTAGAGGAAGCCATGGGACCAAGAGATGCCTGTATTGCGCAGATGCAGATAGCCCAATCTATACTTACAGAATCAAAATTACTAGGAGTGGCACCCAGAAAAATGTATTTTAAAAACAAGAAACCCCAAGTTACACTCAGACACATTAAAAATGTAAAAGAAGAGTTTAAATAAAAAATTAAAAGTAATACAGTTTTAGTGTGTGTGTGGGTTCTTGTGTTTGACTCTACTTCTCTCTCTCTCGTGTTAATTTTCATATCGAAACTACTTTTCCCATCTTGTGTCTTATGAAAGGATTGAATGGTACCACATTTGAGTTGTCTTCTATCATTCCTGACATTTCTTGCTCCTTGTTTTAAGAGCCTGAGAATGTGTGGGTAGATTCAATATCAGAAGAGAGTTTCATCCTATTGGCTATGTTTAGCACCTTCTGGAATGTGAATATTCTGGAGCAGAGAGAAGAGAGCAGCCTAGAAACTACACAGACTAGAAAAAAATCCATGAAGTCAGCAGAAAATGCATGGAGAGACATTGTAGAAGTCAATGGAAGACAGCATTTTAAGGAAGGATGCATGGAAAAGTGCTAGAGGGGGTTTTAAAAAATATTTCAAATCTAACTGATTTTTATGTTTCTTTGTCATAGTGTTTTAAAAAACCGTGGCCAAGCTTTTTTTTTGTTTGTTTGTTTGTTTTTTTTGTTTGTTTTTTTTTTTGAGACTGAGTCTTGCTCTGTCGCCCAGGCTGGAGTGCAGTGGTACGATCTCAGCTCACTGTAAGTTCTGCCTCCTGGATTCACGCCATTCTCCTGCCTCAGCCTCCCCAGCAGCTGGGACTACAGGCAAACGCCACCACGCCCAGCTACTTTTTTGTATTTTTAGTAGAGACGAGGTTTCACAGTGGTAGCCAGGATGGTCTCGATCTCCTGACCTCGTGATCCACCCGCCTTGGCCTCCCAAAGTGCTGGGATTACAGGTGTGAGCCACCGTGCCCGGCCATGGACAAGCTTTTAAATACTTACACTACTTCATCAGTCTCTGTTTGCTAGAGTGAATCGAAAGGGAAAGAATTTTAGCAATTTTATTTTAGCTTGGGATCTCACAGGAGGAAAGTAACTCTCAGAGCAAAGCTTCATAGATTTAATAAAAGATAAACAATACTTTTCATCAAACTTAATATTAAACATAACAGAACTCTAGGCATAATAATTCATTTTAACATTAATATAAAATCAAGCCCAATTTTAGTCTATTATTTTGGTATGTGAACATACTAAAGGATTGACAAATAAATAACAATTAGCTAAAACTTGAAATTAGCAAATAAAATATGTTGAGAATTTATAGATGGATTTTTACGTCATTTATAGTAGAAAGTTGTTTTAAGCAGAAGAAACAAAATAATCATTTAAAGGAAGCTGTGGAAAATGCAATGCATAAATTTGCTGTGATGATTTTTGGAAGATGTAAACATCCTAATTCTTAGTTGTTCATATGAGAAGTAAGTTGACATTCTTTTATTTAACCAAGGCTTTACTGACACCTACTATATACTTGGCCCTATTCTATACACCTTGGGTTATAGCAGTGGCACAGGGGAGGAAAGAAAATAAAGTAGAAAAGAAAGATTGAAAGTGGCAACAAAGGGGAGCAGTGTTGCAGTTTTGCATTTGGGAATCAGATAAGTTTTTACTGAAAAGGTGTCAGTAAAATACAAGCATTCAGGACATGTGAGATTGAGCCATGGAGAATATTGATCCATGAACTTGAGAAGAGCATTCTAGGTAAATGGAGTAGCAGATACGAAAGTCCTGGGGCAGTAACAAGTCTGCCATATTCAAGGAACAACAAAGAAGGCACTGAGGTTGGCATGGAGTGACTGAGGGAGTCTGTGGTAGGAGATGAGGTTAAGAGGTCAAGAGAGCAGATTGATAGGGTCTCACAGGTCATTAACAAGTACCTTGACTTTCGTTACAAGTTATAGGAGACTCCTTCCCCAAAGGGATATGAAGGGAGGAATGACAGGATCTGACTTCTATTCTCAAAGGAACATTCTGGCTGCTAGATTAAAAAGAGATTATAAAGAAGGACAGAAGCAGGGACAACTGTTAAGAAACTGCAGCAGTAATTCAAGTAAGAGATGCTGGTGACTTGAACCAAAAATGGAAGCAGTGGAGGAGAAAGTTGGTGTGTTCTGGATTTATTTTGAAAGCAGAGTAACAGAATTTGCTGGTAAAATGGATGTAGCTTGTGGGGAAGGAGAGGAGTCAAAACGACTCTCAGGTTTTAACCTGAGTAACTAGAGAATGAAGGTGCTATTTACTGAGATAAAAAAGGTGGCAAATGATGTAGGTTTAGAGGGGCAGTCATGAGAAGTTTGGTGCATATTGAGTCTGAGACGCCTATTATATTTATACTAGGGTTATTGATAGTCAGTTGTACAAACAACTCTGGATTTCAGATGAGAGTTCCAAGCTGGAATTGTAGATTTGGAAAAGAAAAACAAGTAAGTAATGTTTAAAGCCATGAGGCTAGAGGTAGAAAAAGAGGAGAGGTCTAGGACTGAATTTTAGGGCATTAAAATAAAACCTTTCAATGTTAAGAGATTAGGGAGAAGACAGGAACTAGTAAGTAAACTGAGAAGGCAGACTGAAGCAAGTATGACTACATCATTAATAGCTCTTTTTGAGAGCATTGGTAATGTAGAGGTTCTCATGACCCTAAGTGTTTTTTCACTATTTTTAGGGTCATTTGGTCATTTTCTATTTACCTACAACTTGATCTCAATTTTAAACTCTCAATCTTAAATTCTTGCTCTTTCCCATTCACTCCTCCTATCCCTGCTTCAGTCTCACATCACATTTATTTTGAAGATCTTCATTGGTACTGTAATTTCATCTGAGTGTAAAATGCATTTTTGAAAACTGTCAAAAGTAATTTGGTGATTCATCTGGTGAATGAAATGGGTGACCAGGTTGGTTAATATCACTTTTGATAAAAAATCAGGAGTGACCATTGAGTAATATCACCAAGTTTACTGTTTGGTTTACATGCCCAGTCTAAAAGCAATTTCATCAGGCATGCTCTAAAATGTTTTGAGCAATGATAACATTACTGGAATAAATATATTATTTCTAAGAGGACTGTGTTCAAGGCTTATTTTCATATATGAAATACATATATAAGTTTTGTTAATTTGATTAACAATATTTCTTAATATTCTATTGTTTTATCATATATGTTTATATAGTTGCTTAAAATCCATCAACATGCATGTAGCCATAAACAATGTCGAACTGAATCTTCATTTTGCAATGTAAGGGTTTCTTAAAAAACTGCTATTCTCATTTAAGGTGATTATCTAGTGAAAAACAATGGAAAATAATTGTTTTAATTAGTAAAAGATTTGCAAGAAAATTTTAAAACATTTGCCCAGATACTACAAAAATTGCTGATAGTGAGCACCAGAGGTTTACAAACACGCCTTCTTGGATGTCTGAATAATAATGAATTTGTAATGAATGTATTCTCTTCAAATTATGCCAATTATTTGTTCACCAAACAAATATTTATTGTTTTAATATGTTATGGACTCGTGTCATATGGAGAAGAGTTTGCTCTTTTAGATCCTTCCAAAGGCATCCTCAGAGATTTATATGCACAAAGAAGAGAGCAGAAATTGTGTTACTGACTTTCTCCACATCTGACATAGTCTCCTGGGAAGTTTTTACCATGTGGAGAACCCGTTTCGTCTAGGCTCGAGGAAGATTAAAATAGTTGGTGAGGTTTAGTGTTTTCCTTCTATGTTTGCTATACCCCAACTCAGGTCATTAGTCACTTACCCTGTGACACAGAAAGCTTCCTCTCTTTCTTAATGATATGGTCCAGTTACCATCAATGCCTCTGACTTGTGCCAACCTTAAGTGGCATGAAATAGAGAATGGAACTTTTAGTTTTCTTTGGAGGCTAACTACAGATTTTGTTCTAGGTTCTGGGATGGGGACACGGAAACAAAGATGGGGTTTCCGTTCTCAAAACACTATTATATTTTGAGGAGAAGGAAACATGCATAAGGAATTATATCACAATATGATAACTGTATGATGCTATAAAGTCAATGTACAATGGGAGTTTGGGAGAGAACCCTAAGAGTTCTTGGTTTCAGGGAAGGTACTGGCGTGATGCAAAGAGATGGAGTGAATTCTCCACCAAGTTCAGCATGTTGAGGTAGTTGGAAATTATTGGGACCCAGCCTTTTTTCTTTTACCCTTCGATCCTCCAGCTAATCCGGTTACTTCAGAGCCTTTTCCCTAGTTTTTTCCTGACATTTTGAATGAAGTTTAATGTTCATTTTAGGACTTTCCTTGTGAAGTATTTTAGAGTCTTTACCCCAAGGATCACAGTCATCCTGACGCAAAAATATTGTAATTGGCTCATTGTTCCTTACTTAAACTTGGCCGAGATACTCATTCCTCTAACTAATGTTGACACTAATTGCCCAAAGGAGGTAAGTGATTTCTGAATGTAGGCTTACATGTTTCTTATTATACATAATAAACTTACAATGTTTTTCATGTGTTTCACTAGTATGGTCAGCTTCACATCCTCGTAGGATATGACTAACTGCACCTTAGGCTTCTTGTCTGGAAACTTCTCACCTGATAAAATAGTAGAATTTCAGTGAGTTCAGTTGGAAAAAGCTCAGCACAGGAGCAATCAAACATTTAAAAACTAAAACAGGACTAATAAATAATAAGTAGAATAACATTCTTCAGATAATGTTGAAGAATCTTAATGCTCTTCAGGAGGTGGAGTTGATTAGATAGAGATGGGATTTGTGTCTAATCTTTAACTCTTCCCCTAATATTTCATATTTTGTTTTGATTGATACCATTATTTTCTCAACAACTTAAGCTTAAAACCTCAGTGTCATTTTTGGGTCCAATTTTCTCCGTAGCATTCATTATAATGAGCTTGAAGTATTAGAGGTCACAGAGATTAAAAGTGTGGCCTTTAGAAATCAGTGAACCTGAGGTTCAAGGCCCAGCACTACTATTCATGACTTTGTCATCATGACTAAATTAATCAACTTTATATAAAATGGAAATAATAGTTACATTTTGAGATGGGTTGTTGAGATGATTAACTGATAAAATTCAAAAGTTGTGACATAGTAAGTGGTTAATTTGTACTAATCTCTTTTTTCTCATCCCATAGCACCTAATTCAAATTCATATAAACATTATGCCTAAACTACTAGGACATTCTCTCACACCTCCCACTCCCTGCACAGAATCCAAATCTATTTGTATACCATTACCAATGTAAGTTTCAGACAACAACTTTTTTTTTTTTTTTTTTTTTTTGACGGAGTCTCGCTCTGTCGCCCAGGCTGGAGTGCAGTGGCCGGATCTCGGCTCACTGCAAGCTCCGCCTCCCGGGTTTACGCCATTCTCCTGCCTCAGCCTCCCGAGTAGCTGGGACTACAGGCGCCTGCCACCTCACCCGGCTAGTTTTTTATATTTTTTAGTAGAGACGGGGTTTCACCGCGTTAGCCAGGATGGTCTCGATCTCCTGACTTCGTGATCCGCCCGTCTCGGCCTCCCAAAGTGCTGGGATTACAGGCTTGAGCCACCGCGCCCGGCAGTTTCAGACAACAACTTTTATAAAATTATTTTTTGATCAAAATGCCTTTCATAGATTTCCATTGCTTATGAAAAAAGGTCTAAATTTGTCAGCCTTGTATTGTAACTTCTTATTACTGTTTTATTTCCCACTTTTATTCTATACTTTCATTCATATGTTTAGTTCTACAAGCAGGCTCTACTATTTCTTTCTAGTAGTTTCTCATATTATTCCTTGCAATTAAAATGATCTTGTTAACCATTTTTGTCTATTGAACTTCTAACTTTCTTCAAAGCTTAATTAAAATGCAAAATAGTTTGTGTGGTCATCTCTCCCTGAACTCTCCTAGCACAGCCTTTATCATGGAATATTTACATTGTAATTATTTTATATGTCTCAATTTGTTTAGGGGATTACAATCTATCTCAGGGCTTACTTTTTACCCCTATATCCCCAAAGGGCATAAGCCAATGCTTACTCCATAATGTGCACATTAAACATTTATTTAATAACAACAGTAACCTTAATTTTTCTTTTGAGTTGTATCACAACATCATTAAAATGAGAATTTTAGTTTTTTTAATTAAAAATTTATTGTTTACTGCCCAAGGATTAAACATAATTTATAGTTTTACTAATATTTCCCTTATAATCTCTGGTTGTATGTTATCTGGGGGAATTTAGAGATCAATTTATTAATAACAAAGAATTTGTCAATGGTCATCAGATAGTTAATCCTAACTTTCTAATCTTCTCTAATATTTGAAAATTATACCCGAGCAGTGTAGTTATACCTGATCAGTATAATTTTCAAATATATAATTTTTCAAAGCTTTCTACGTTTATTTGAGTAATTTATACATTATATGAGGTGATATTAATTTTATTGTTAATAATATGGATTTCTGACATTGAAAAGGATGTTTTTTTACCATTGAAATGGTAATATAATAAGAAATCACTTGTAATATCTTGATTACAATAACTGGGAGATGTGAGTTAGAGATAGTATGAGTTAATTCTGAGTAAGACTGAAGTAAATTGCATTTCATAATAAAAAGATGTTTGGTATAAAGGTGTTAAAAATGCTGATAACATTTTGAAGCACAATGAACACCATATTTGAATTACAGAGTAGAAGAATTGTTAAGTAGACATCCAATGTATTTAATTAGAGAAGTTTTAATTCGAAGGTAGAAAATTAGCATAAATTTGTGATTGACTGCCTAAATAGTACAAGTACAATTGCCACTTGAACTGACTGAAGATGATATTTCCCCCTCGACCTCTTGTGCAAGATTAGTAACTAAAGTATCCATCAAAACATGCCAGAGCTCAGAACCCAGTGAAAATTCACACCACTAGGAATTGACACTCAGTAGTCAATGTCTAAGTAGGAGTAGAGACGTTTAATATTTCTGTAGCTTTGACTGTGTGCCAGGCTAAGAGCTTTATGTACAGTAACCCATTCAATCATCATAGCAAATCTATGAAATTTGTATTATCTCCATTTTACACATGAGGAAACTCAGGCACTTGATCCAAAGTCATAGAGACAATAAATGGTACAGGTTTAAGTGATCTCCAAAGTCTGTGTTCATAAGTGTCTGGTTTATAAGCCAGGCGACAACATAAGAAAAACAGCTTAAATGAACTCAAGAGGGACATTTGTGAATAGCTTAATATGTTCAAGAAGACGCTAGGATATGCTGGTCTTCTGCTTCAAGTTAGTCTGAAGGATTCAACTATGCTTAGATTAACCATTTATAGTAACCCCAAGAACTGTTAAAATATTTTTGATTTTAAGGATGATTGTGTTGAGATGCTTGATGCAGGGTACTACAGCAGCTAATACATTGCTTATTATGCAAAATATGTCCATTGGCATTAGAAAATGGTATCTCAAGTTTTCACTTTTTTCAGATGATATATTCATATGAAAAAAATTTTAAGTACACATAAAAAGTCTTCCTAACATCTATCCACCCAGTTCTCCCATCATTATTTTATTAGTTCCCAATATATCTCTCCAGAGGGATACATTTTTGGGGGGAGTTGCTTCATATTTGCAAATATAGATAAGTACTTCTATTTCACTCTTTTTAATAAGCATAGTGTATTCATCATTCTCCACATATATCTTGGAGATATTTTCATATCAGTAATACATATCTTTATTTTTAAAAATACAGGTTCTTAGTATTCCATTATATGAAAATACTATAACCAGTTGCTAATTCATGGGCAAGTGGATTGTTTCCAATGATTTGCAGCTATTAAAAATCATGTTGCATGAATCATTTTGTGCCTGCATCATTCTGTACAATGATGCAGGTACATCATTGTACCTTACTTAAACTGGGCCGAGATACCCATATCAGATGACACCTATAGTCATCTGATCTTCCATAGAGCCAAAAAAACAAGCAAGAGGGAAAGGACTTCATGTTCAATAAATGGTTGTTATATACACAAATATCACAAGATAAACTTCCAATATCAGGATCGCAGGTCGAAGAGTATTAGCATTTGTAATTTTGATGAATATTGCCAATTGCCTTCCATGGAGGTTCTAACAATTTGCATTATTACCAGCAGTGTATGAGTGCCTGCTGATTTATAACCAAGCTTGTTAATTAAAGTTTTGGGGTTTTGCCAATCTGATTAGAAAAAAATGGTGTCAGTGTAATTTAAATTTGCATTTATTTGAGTGAGGCTGAGTATCTTTTCACTTGGTTAAGAGTCACTTGTGTTTTCTTTTTTGTGGGTTATCTTTTTATACTATTTACTCAATTTTTTATTTGGTTGTATATCTTTTTCTTATCATATTCTACATGATAGTTAGGTGTTAGATAATAAATCCCTTGTCTGTAATGAATTGCAAAAATTTCACCCATTTTGTCATTTACCTTTTTATTTTTTTGAGTTTGCTATGGTGCTTTATGGCATGCAGGGTTGTATGGCTTCTGGACTTTGGAGTCACAGCTATAGTAATTCATTTCAAGATTATAAAGCAGTTCTTCTGTTTTCATTGTCACATGTGTGATTTCATTACTTATATTTAAAATACTTCCTCCATTTGTTACTTATCCTGGCATATGGTATGAAGTATAGTATCCCAACACCAGTTTTTGAATTTTTCCTTACAGTTTTGGACACATACTAAACTCCTGACTGTATTTGGCCATACAGGTATTTTTGAAAATCCTATTACATTGCATTTATTCATCTATTTATGCACTGAAACAGCACTGTTTTAATTATTGAGGTTTTATAATATGTTTTGATATCTAGTGGGCCTTGTCTTCACTCATTACTCCGTTTTTACTAAGTTTTTCTATTTTTTCTTTCTTTTCTTTGTTTATGAGCTGTAGAATTAGGCTATCTACTTGGAAGAAAACCGGCTAATTTTTTTTAAAAATTTTATTACATTTCAAAATTAATTGGAAATATATGTCTTTATGATGTTGAATTTTCCTAAGAGGATAATATGTCTATCATAAATAAGAGAATTCAACAAAAGTATCAAATACAAAATTGATATATAGATATCAATTATATGTTATATATAGATATAAATTTACTACATAAAATGTGCATTTTATATATGTATATAACCACCATTTATTGAACATGAAGTCCTTTCCCCCTTGCTTGTTCTTTTGGCTCTATGGAAGATCAGATGACTATAGGTGTGCAGCTTTATTTCCCTAGTTTACATTCCCACTAGCAGTGTAGAAGTGTTCCCTGATTGCCACACCCATGCCAACATCTACTGGTTTTTGATTTTTTTATTATGGCCATTCTTGCTGGAGTAAGGTGGTATTGCGCTGTGGTTTTGATTTGCATTTTCCTGATCATTAGTGACAGTGAGCATTTTTTCATATGTTTGTTGGCCATTTGTATATACCTTCTTTTGAGAATTGTCTATTCATGACCTTAGCATACTTTTTGATAGAATTGTTTGTTTTTTTCTTACTAATTTGTTTGAGTTCATTGTAGATTCTGGATATTAGTCCTCTGTCAGATGTTT